CGGTCGGCGTTGTTCATTCTTATTTGGGCCACACAAATAACACGTTGTTTTTCATATAGTCACTACTTTCTATTTGCATTTCGCTGGGATGTTAAGGTTTAGTGCCGAGCAAAAGACGGTCAAAAGGGCACCCGAGTCTCACTTGCTTCTTCCTTTTCATGTCCGACGATCGTTAGTAAACTTGCCTCAGTTCACCGAAAATCAGCGAAAACGTGCCTGTTCTCTCCTCGATGGCTATCGTAGGGACGCTCATCGGACCTGTGATCGGTCTGTCTTCTCCGGGAAATGGCTGGCCTCTGACAATTCTCACGTACCGAACGACAGTAGCTACTTCACCAATAACTGGTTTTTCATTTTTCTGTCGCAGTCGAAGTCGGTAATTTTTTCATGGAGAGAGTCTGTGTTAGTTGTGAAAGCGTCTCACCTTGATGAACGTTTCCTACTACAGCCCCTTGCGAAAACCTTTGGAGCTTTTCTTCTCAAAATAGTTAGCGACACCTGCTTAGTTGACTGACATGACTGTACCGGGTCGACACGTAGATACACTCCAAAAAGCAACCCCAAGCGAAATCCCTTCTTGAACGACCCCGGAAATAAGCGCAACCTCCCTGTGGATGTCCACACAATAGAAAGTTTTCTATCCAGGGAGCAAAAAATTGCTTGCAGTTTGACCTAAATTTTTTTTCACACGGCAACCAGTGACTACCGCGAGCTCAGATATTAGCCGCTCACGTACCCCGACCACCGTTGCAGATAGACGGTATCGGGGTGTGTACGTCATAAATGTGACATAATAAGTAGTTAGACACAGACACACGTTTCGGGGGGAACTTTTTGTTGGTACCTGTGACAGTACTTGTAACACTTAAAAGTAAGCGAGTCGGAGGTCGCGGATGATTGTTGTGCGGATGACAAGGCAGTCGACGAACGACTGTGCAAACGACTTGTGTGCCTGAATGAGCAGTATTGCTACAGGCTACCGGTCGTTTCCTTCCAGGACCCTAGCAAAGACACTTGAGGCGGTCCTCTAACACAGAAAGGAAGCGTGCTCATTCGTGTTTACTCGATGTTTGGAGAACCTCACGTACAATCTACTTGTCAAATACCGTCTACAAATTGAAAGACACACTGTCAAAAACCTGTGAACTTGTGCAAACTTAACGTTGTATAGAAATCGTCCTCTAAGCGTTTACAAAAGATAGCGGAAAAGTACTCAACTCTCTATATACTCTCGGAACGTGACACACGAACGGAAGTGCTCTGTTTCGATGCGAAGAGGTTACCATAAAACAGCAACTAAAGATCCTTGTCTTGATCTCGGCAGTTAGCGTTTATGCTGTTGGTTGGAGACGACGTAAGGGCGTATTTGAAGACACAGCTACATATAGTACGCGGCTGGGGATGTTGGACCTCTCTGATTGTATGCGCCCGCCCTCCGAACCGGAACGTCGCTTGCTCAAACACTATTGTCGGCATGCAGTACTGTCAACTGATCTAGATCGCTACTCTTGTTGTTCAGACTGGACTAATTGAACAAATAAGCCCTGTATTCAGTTGGCCTATATGTAGAAGGTGTATCCAGAAGTCGTCTGTACACAGAGTTGATGTCTCAAGCATCATATGGGCTCCATGGAACGAGCTGCGAAGGCACGCGCCGGTCAGCGGAGGTGTCACATAACAAGAGTTAGTTCTACACGGACTACGTGGTATCCATGCTGACATGGGGAGTACCACTATTTTGCATTCTCGCGTACGTCATGACTTAGGATACGTAACTATCCCTCTGGGAGGAGGTCTAACAGATACTACCTCGATCCTAAACTGACGACGCATGAATAGAGCGATAACGAAATTTTGCGAGGAACGTCCAGACTCACGCAGTCACCTGCTCGTATGAGGAATACCAGATCCGGAATAGAAGGTAACTACAATCGGTCAGTTGGATGATCCTACGTATAGGTAGGCCATATTGGGGTGTCTCCACATGTCTCATTGGCCACACTCGTAATCTGACGACAATGGGGACCTGTTACAAACACCTCAGATGACTGGATATGGATGAACGACTTCAGTATCAGAGCGAAAGACAGAGTAATCTAACTTTACGGGTAGTTTTGGGTCGCCGTGGGCAACGAGGTAGTGCTGATTACTTTGTACACACTGTGACACAGAGTCCTAGGTAACGCTGAGAACATGGGTTTGACACAATACTTCGTGGGTTTTGAGTAAACGAGCTTTATTACCTCTGATTTATAGATTCCGACCACATATTAAGAGAAGTTCAGGGGTAAAACCCATACGTAAAAAGAGTAGAAACTGGAATAAGTATTTACTGGTCCTGATCTAGTGAAATGTCTTCAGACTACGTACCATACATACGTACACTAGAACAAAAAAATACCAGCTAAATGTGAAAGAAACTCCGACCAACAGTAATCCAGTTATGCTCTCGGATGTGTGAATGCAAAAGTCCTTATTTAAACCAATGTTAAACACACAAAAGGTTCAGTATGTACAAGAAAGGTGTAACACTTTTAGCTACCGGAGTTTTAATCAGAGAGATTTGATACAAGGTGGATATCAATACTGTTATACCATCAATCAAAAAAGTGTAAAGAGATACCTCGAACACAACCGAATAGTTACGTAGGCACATCACTATTGTTGAACATCAAGTATTGTCGCGAGCTCGCGTACATATTTGTCAGTCCATTCATTCTGGAATTGGTGATTTTCCGAATCAACTTTACGTTGCTTGGGCTTGGAGAGAGACATCTTGAAGCTGTTACTCGCTGGCCCGCGAACCTAGTGTGTAACGTGAGTTTGACTGAGCCAATGACAAGTGCGGACACCGTGCGTTTTTTGTTGTTGTAATGAACAGAGCGCGGCAGGCAAAATAACGGATTCAAAATAATTCAAATGAATGGAAAAACCAGCGTTTTCGCCACATCGTCGGATTTAGTGTGATCAGACATTAGTGTTATTTATGCTATTACACATATGCCATTTCGATTTGCAGGTAACCTCTTGTGGGCCAGAAAAAAGTTCTGAAGGGCCTGATTCGGCCCGTGGGCCGCTAGTTGAATAAGCCTGGTTTAAGGTTTAAGGTTTGATAAGGTTAGGGGCAGAATCACATGTTATACACCAAGTACGTTGTTGACCTTGCCAATGTAATCAATATGATAAGTATATATGTAGGGGAAAACTAAAACAATAGTTAAAAACAAGGATGAATGACTACTCTTTTTTACCAGTTCAGTTAACTACACTAAAGTGGTAAAGAAGCAGTGAAAATGCCACAAATGTTTCTTGTACTTTCTTGAGTATCCTATAAAAATACTTTGGCTCCCCCTGCTGGTATACATTTGTTCTGCTGGTTGCTGATTCCTATAGTAAAGGCCACCAGAGTTCATTGAGTTCAGTGTGGCAATATACAAAATTGCAGTCATTCTAGTTAACTTTTAGTAATACATTCTCCATTCTGCCGCTCTGTGTCTGCGCTAAGGTAATTTAACCTGCAGTAAATTCAGTATATACTATGCTATACAACCATTTCCCACCAATCTAAGAAAGAATGGTTCCTGTTCACATGTCCAAAAAACTGTATATAAGGAAAAAGGACTAAAATATTCAACCCCTATCCTGCTGAGAAGACTACACCCACACATGTGGTCAAAGCCATAAACTCTGCTTGTGTTAAACGTAAGTGTCTCTGAAGGTAAGTCCTGCTGAGAAGGGGATTTCTGAAAACAGTAGTTATTTTTGATGTTGTAAAACGACCGAGAGAAGGAATGAGAAGCATCTCTGCAGAACCACAGCGGCTGCTGTGCCACATGCGGAAAGTCTGAGGGAACCAAGAGTGAATGCTGGGGAGACAGGAGCAATAACTTCCTCCAGCTGGACTGCAGTGAAAAGCTTCTGTTCCCAATGAAAAACAACCATGGGAAAACAAATGGAATTAGATTGTTCTTAAGTACCACATAGGTTTTTCTTTTGCAAATATATGTAGATATAATGCTCCAATATGTGGGATTAAACCAGTCTTTTGTCCTCTTCTATTCTCCTTCAGGAGTCAACCTAAGGGATTTATGTGTTCTTCCCCAAAAAACATTGTCACTTTGGTTTGATGGTCTTCCAATAATTTTAACTCAAGCAGCAGTTTAATACTTAAAGTCCTCATTTCTGTGACTTCTGTCAATTATACAATTCTTATCACAGGTTTAAAAGGGAATCTTTAGTTCCTGTAAGCTTGAAGTGACACTGGATTTGGCACTTTGAATACGAAGACATTGTTAATATTCAATAATATAAGAATTGGATAAGAGCTTGCTGACATTTTTGGAAAGAAACGGGCAGCTGTTGCTTAGATAGAGGTTTGTCTCCCTGAACAGGTGGCACCTGGTGTAGCAGCCTCTGCCTCTGTATGAATGTGTGTGAATGGGTGAATACTGACTATGTGAAAACACTCTGTGTGGTAACAATCACTGTAAAAACTCTATATAAATACAGTCCATTTTCCATATGGATGAGGAGATATACTGTAAGACACAGAATGCTCCAAAACAACATAATTAGGGGATGATGACAGTGTTGGCTCCTAATGGTACATGCAAGGGAGAAACAGAGTCTATAGTAGCCTACAGTATAGACCTGGGGAGAAGAGGGTCTTTCTGATGTACAATACAGCATAGTAATAATATACAGTAGAGCCTTTGTGAAGCTGTGTAATACCATGCAGTAGAGACACATACATAGAGTGACTTCACTGTTAATCCCCTATATAGTAGGAGAAGATAGCAGGGAATGTGGTACCAAACATGTCTACAGTATGTGATGTGGCTGTTTTGATGTTAAGGGGCTACTTCACCAATTTTAAACATAAAGGAAACCTAAAGGTCTGCTATCGTTAAATCCAATCTAGTATCCTGTGTTTCTGTCTTATAAAATAATGAAAGATAAGCAGGGCTTTCTCCTCCGGGGTTACGAAGGCATACGACCGACAACGTGTTTTTTTATTTACAGAAAGCCTAAAAAATACGTTGAAGAAAGGATTGAAAAGACAAAGCATTTAGCAGGTAGAGGTGCTAAGCTGGGATACATCTAGTGTAATATGAGCTACAACCCTGGAGTGAATGTCTGGTTATTGATGTTATAAAACATTTTCTCTCAAGTTTTGCAACTTCATGTAAGTGCAATGCTAAAATTAAGAGGCAGCTCAAACTGATTTCCACATGGACTTATTCATGCAAATATCTTTTGGCCAACTGGAAAGATATAACAATGTTTTCTGGTTTATTTGTGGCACACATTGAATCAGCACTGATGTCCATTGCATAAAATAATATTCATAGCAACACCATAACTGAATTGAAACAATATGTATTCACTTGCCTATGCCAATTATTATTGAGAGTGAATTTTCCTTTTTATTTGTTGCTAACCAATTTCAACTGTTTAAATGAAGGTCATATCTACAGTAGCTACCCTCCTTGCCCACAGTTGCTCTGAAAATATTCTTAATGTAATGCTTTAGGCTAAGTAAGGAGCCCTCACAATGTTTGGAATACAGTGGGGTCTTGTTCCGTACCTGAGAGTGAGGCAAACTGGCGGTGGAGCTGCTCTATGATGTCCACAGCCAGCAGCGGCCGGATCTCCTGCTGCATGATCTCATCTGGAACGAGAGATACATTCATCAGATAGAGCTAGAGACACTGTTCAACATCCATGGATTACAGACAGTCAGAGAAACACAGAGTGAGAGTTACAGCACAATGTAAAAGGAGGAGCAGGGGGATAAATTCTTCAAATAATACAAAAAATATAGTCAGACAGACCTGCGTGACAGGTAAACATAAAAAATGAACATCTTTACATCTGTCATCTTCTCATTGTTTTGTTTGGATATGTGCATTATTTAAAGAAACTCATAACTCAGAATATTGCATTTATATTTTTCTGTTCTCCTTTTCATCCTTTCATTTTAATTGTGGCAATATCAATAGAGAACCGCAGTGACGCGTCGTAAAACCCGGAAGTAAGTTAGCATTTTTAGCACTTCCGGTTCCTTCCTCAAAAAGCAATGCATTTTTTCCATAGGGTTTTGGAAAATAGCTCGAAATAAGATCAGTGGTTGACACAAATTTAAGAGGTAATTGACGTTTTGTTCTACGACATTAAATACATCAGCAGTGACCCCACTGGGGATTTTTGAAGAGTTTACGTGTCTGAAAAACGATGGTTGTTACCGAATGGCTGAATAGGACTACAGAAATTGTCGAGGCCGTTGTACGTCATTACGCCGAACACGTAAACACTCCCGCTAAGTTTGTTTCCCCCTGTGTTCTGCTTGAAAGCAAGTACCTGCCTGTCTTTAGTATCTGTATATCTATATCTGACCATTAGAATCTGTATTTTTGAAATTGTCGTTTTTAACACAGTAGTTTTACAAATTATAGAATAATTAATTACCAGTGTTTTCCAATTTTACTCGGCAGTTCGTTTCGTTAGCTAACGTTAGCTAAAAGCTCAAAAGCGAAGTAAACCTACCTAGTTAGCTACGCACGTAATGGTTTGTTGCTTTGCTCCGGGTTCCAGCCACAGGCCTCTATCGACAGGTGAAACTGCTTGTTCTCGCATGAAAAACTTGCATTGGCGTTCCAAAGTATTCACCGTTTCCAGGCCATATGTATGGACTCGTCCAAGACGAGAGTGTGGATCCGTGTACCCATTTAGTAGCGACGTCACATAGTGTGTCACATGTGACGCCATGTAAATGTAAATAATGGTAGATGACCTGTTATCGCCCCTTATAGAGATGGCGCTGCTGAAAAGACCGCAACATAAGTAAAGATAATGAATACATCCTATTAAAACCTGTGTGGCCTTTATATGATAAGTCTTATTAGTACAAGCAGCATAACGTTCACCATGTAACTAAAGATTGTATCAGGGAAATCAGTCTTGACATATGAACTAATAACCAAATCAACTCTGGCTGGACAAAAAAGCAGAGACTCCTGCTCCATAGCTTCTCTTGGACATGTAGCAAAAAATCACAATGTTACATTTGTACATTTATATTCAATTTAATATTCATCCCTCACAATACTTTTGTATATATAATAACTTATATTTTGTTTTTTCTTGGTTATGGCTGGCTGCCAACATCAAACACTTCCCAAATTGGGAATCAATACAAGTAATTATCTTATCCTTACATTAATTAAGAAATTATAACTATTATAATTAGGTGTAGGCAGCTGACACCTATTTTTCAATAATGCGATTAATCTACCATTTATTTCTTTAGTTCAATTTTTGATCTATAAAAAACATGTCAAAATTAGTGAAAATGTTCACGAGACTTATCAAAGTGCAAAGGTTATATCTTTAGATGTTTTGTTTTAAGCCTAGTGTACTGTAGTGTCTTAAATGGCTCTTACCAATATATGTGACGGTGTGACTATCCATGAACCTATATTTTATATCTTCCCAACAGACGAGCTGACAGGAAAGCCTAACCAATCTAACAACCACACACATTGCCAAAAGGCGAGGTAAATGTAAATTAAAAGAACAATTCACAATTTTTTTATTTCTTCGTTCCTTGCAGGTGAAGGTGAAGCTGACCTTGCACTCGGTGTGCCAGTAAGGATGTTCCTCAAGCAGGCTGAAATGTTCTCCTTCCTTACTGACAAAGAACGCCTTGATTTGGCAATGCTTCACTAATTGTCATTTCCCTGGCTCTAGTAGGTGACACTTTACCTCCAGCAGCAACGGAAGACCCTACCCAGAACCATCCCGGAGAGATGCCCCCAACAATCCTGATAGGGAGAGCCACAAATCTGACTCATGGACCTGCATCTGAGTTTGGCAGTGGTGAATGCCCCTGACGCCCTCACATCATCTCATAGTCCCCCACTGTAGCAAGACAAAACACCATATACAGAGACCTGTTGGTTGCCTTAGCAGTGACCCTGGCAAATTAAAGGAAGCAGTCACACGCTTGTGACTCATGACAGCTCAAAGTGCTAGGCAGACAACCCAGTATATGCGCGCAGTCAAACACTTCCATTTCTGAACAAATGCCCAGAAAATTAGGGATTGTATCGAGCATGATCAGCTGGGGTGGCACAACACCATGAAATAGCCTCTGTTTGCTCTCAGAACAAAGCTGCCTTGCCAATTAATTGGCCTCAGGTCGCCTGATGGCCGCAACAGATTTCTGATAATTTTCAGGAAACAGTAAAGTGTTTACCAAGCTGTATTGTTCCTCTTCTGGCTCGGGGGAGAGAAGGCCAAGGAAATTCGGCTGAGAACCTGCCCCGAGTCTGTACCTCCCAGCCAGTCACTGATCTTGCGGAGGTGGGCCTCTCTTGTCAGCTGGTTAAATTAGTTATCGGTTTCCAGTCACATTAAAACAGTTACTAAATCAGCTTACTATCATACACCATAAAGAAGCTATCTAGGATTATAAAGACTGAAATTCAGCAGACAGGATTGGGAAAAAACGTGTCCACTTGCAGTATCTTCAGTAGAGCTGGACTACGGCAATGGTGCTCTTCACAGGTCTTCAACCTAAAAAATCTATAGTCGAAAGCTGCAGCTGATTCAGGAACACAGCTGCTCCGAGTCGCTTTACCAACAGCTAAAGAAATTGGATCACCATCGGCTCCAAGCTGTTCTCGAAGTCTCTACACTCGGAATCTCCTGATGTGATCAAAGATAACGATTTAAAAATCACCCATGCTGCCTGTGCTCTATACAAGCACTGAATGGTTTAGGAGCAAAGATCGCATTTCTGCACTCCTGGCTAAATTATGAACCGCCATCCAGACTCTCTAGGTCTTCAGGGGACTGGTCAGCTTTCTGTCCCCAGAGTCAGAACTAAACCATCGGTAACACGCAGGTAAAGTTTACGTTATGCTCCAAATATTGGAAGCAAACTCCGCAGAAACCCTGCAGGTCCGGCTGCAAGCTCTACTACTTTTAAATCGCAGGTGAAGACTTTTTCTTTTTGTCGCTGCTCTTAATTGAAACTAAATTCATATCTTAGACTGGGCAGCTGTAACTTTTATCTTTCTTTATTTTTTCTTTTAATGTTATTTTAATTAGCTTTTCTTTTTAAGACTCGATTTAAAATGGGCATTTTCTTAATGTCTTTCATTTTTGTAAAGCACTTGAATTGCCTTGTGTCGAATAAGTGCTATATAAATAAACTCTGCCTTGCCTCAATAATAGATTTCATGTGACACATCCAAATTGATTTTGTGATGGGAAATTAATGTGACATATAGTTAACTCGGTCTATAGATAACGGTAACTTTGCATACACTAGCTCCGCGCACGCGGCACTATAAAGCCTTGTCCCTCCATCGGCTAGGCGCCCTGACAACACCGGTAGGCACACGCTTGCATCTAGGCTTGGCCACTGTAACGTGTTCCTGACTTGTAGTGGTTCTCTCCCTTATGCGTACACTCTCCTTGTTCATCTTTGTAAAACCCGATATCAGACCTGGTAATTAACACACGCCATGACTTCTAGTTAATTCAGTGTGGCTAAAATGGAAAAGCTTTGTTAAAATATGCAAGACACAGCGAAGTATTCAGCATATATTAGTCAAAAACTTCAGCCATGATCGTTATATGCATCCAGAAAATAATACGGAGAAATCCAGTTTCCACACAGTGTGAATATACTAACAAAGGGCCTAGATAAACGTGGTATACATTAAACAAAGGAGTCCTAGATAAAACCGGGATACGTTATAAAGATAATAAAAAAATAGTGTTAAAAGTGCGTATTACAGTGCAAGATCAGATATTGAAAAGAAATCTTAAGTTGGCGTGACGTTGAAGTCGTAGCGACACAACCACTGCTGAGCTATGATAACTGGCTTGTAGTTTCGTTCTTCATCAGCATCAAACGATATATCGATATTCGGGCTTGGCGACTAGATTCTATTATTCAAAAATTATAAACAGTAGGGTTTGACATGTGGAGATTATCCAGCTGAACAAAACCGTCGATCGCCCTCCTCTTAAATGTGTGTAAACCACAGACGCCTTATTTCGAGCTATTTTCCAAAAATCCGATGGAGAAATTTGCATTGGTTTTTCAAGAAAGCGAACGCGAAAGAAGTATTACTTTCCGGGTTTACGACGCGTCACTCGCGGTTCTCTAATGCTTGGCTCTGTTCTAGTAATCCTGAGTCTGGGCTGTATCGGATTACGTTTTATATTTAGCAGGCCGCAACCGCCATACACATTTAAAAAAGTAGGCACACATGTGGAACCGCAAAATCCTAACCATATCTGTTGTTAGCAACCTGTTTGGATTCCGGCTTTTCTGTGTCATTAGAGTGGTGGGCATATTGACATATTTCTCATACAGGCTGAAACAGAAGTTGGCATTCGAAAGGCGCTCCCCTCGGCTCCCGTTGAATGGGCAGAACGTTACACGATTCCTGAGAGACACCTTCTTCTACTTCTTTCTTCAGCGCACGCGCGCCGCGTTTCTGACTAGGGCTAAAACATCGATCTGTTTTCAGCCGCAAATGCCATGTCGGGATATGGTCGTTTTTTGGCGATATGAAAGTCGGAAAGACACTTGTTTTTTTTAAAAATAAAATGAATACGTTCCTCACTCTCCCGAGGTTCTTGCTTTTCTCTTTGGGAAGTCATCACATCTAACGGCATTGTACATAGCACGGGTTCGGATGCATTATAATACATAGTCTGGCGTAGATCAGTTTAGTCTTATAGAGCCCATGATCAGAAACAAGCGCTTTCGACAAACTGAAGAAATGCTGCCCAAAACATGAATATGTGCACGTGGAATCCATAAATATAATTTAGCAATTAACACAAGCATGCTTCCCATTTCTTTCCACAATACGTCTCGCTTGGGCATTACAAACCACTATTCGGCTGACTTTCTATATTTGATCTCAATTGGTAGANTACTTTTCCAGTTGGTCTACCTGCTCTTCACGTAGCTCTGCATGCCGTCGTTTAGGTGCTTTTTTTTTTTTCTGGAGATAGGCACTGCTAAATCCACTCCTCCATAGTAAGACCCCCCCAGAGGTCGAAGTTAATCTTAAATGTTTCCATCTTATGCTTTGTAAATTTGTTTCGTAACGGAAGAAAGTTAAATATATTTATAAAACTGACAAGTCAAATCAAGCAATCTGATTGGTCGATAGTGTTTTTGCGGACCTCTTTGATTACAGATTTGAAAACATCGTTGCTTGCTTTAAAAGTAGCACAATTCATTATGTCAAACCTTCAAAAGTGTCTAGATATCCCTGCCCTAATGCCAAAGGAACTGCACACTGAATATGTTTTGCCCTTTGATGTCTATGTCTGGACCGCTGCGTAAAAAGGAGGCTTTCTGCCCCGTTACTTCTCCGCTGCTTTCTTGTTCCAGTATTGAACCCAACGGTATACTGTTTTTCTCAGACGCGGAGGGATACTGACTTGTTGTGAAAAGTAATTTACAATTCTACCCGTGGTATACGCTCAGTATATCACGGCTAAGAACCAATCAGATTGCTTGATTTGAATTGTCCGTTTTATAATTTATGTTAATTGGGTTCAAAAATCTGCTGCCACATCACAGCTCATTGACTGATAATTTGGAAGGATGCGCGTTGAAGCGAATATGAGTTAATTGGCGTGTGTGTGTGCGTGTGTGTGTGAATGACAGATGGGCCACGGGATCGCTGCCATCCTCCCCAGGGTCAGATCATCCTGAGGGACTATCCACCCCCTGTTGACACACACACACACACACACACACACACACACACACACACACACACACACACACACACACACACACACACACACACACACACACACACACTGAGAGAGTTGTCCAATGTTTTAGAGGCATCTATATCTCTAGAGAACAGAAATTGATCCAAAAAGATCCCCCCCAACTTCCTCAGCCAATCCCATCTCTTGATTCGCTCCTTGCTCGATTTGACCTAGAAAACCAAATCGAGTCTGGAGTCGATGAGGAGGCTCCTCAGGAGTGCCAGATAAATCAGGTCGGTTATCACACAGAGAAGCCATGGAGCATTTGTTTGATGCTCTGAGGTGAAATGTAACACATTTGTATCCTGACATTTCTGTAATGGTACAGATGGTGTCTAGAGAAAGCTCGAGGCATTTTGGAAGTTTGTCAATTCAACAGAAAAAAAGAAGGTGAACTGGATTTAATTGTACGTATACTACGCAGATGATTCACTTTCCCTTTTAAGGATTTTTTACTTCAAAAAAAACAAAATACTTTTACTAACTCATGGCCTTGATCACATTTGGACCAGAGTAAGGATGCATTCACATGATACGCAACTTACTCTTTGATTACCGCATGTTTGGGCGCAGAGCCTGGTGGTTAGTCTCCTGCTAGCTTGCATTGCTACAGCTGTCATCTGATTGGTTGAATGTCTAGAGGTCAATGTTGGAGACAATTTGGAGCGGTTCGTAACGCCAAAGGTAGAAACACAACCTCAGCACATTTACCACGTATCATGCAGCTTAACCTTTTAGTATTTGGGACGTTAAAAATGACTTTGAGCTCTAATGTACGCTGTAGATCGAAATGTTCTGCACATTTAGTTTCTCAATTTTAGTTTCACTTATTCTGAAGCACTCCACACTAAATGATTCTGTCATTTATCAGACTATTGATTTCACTTGATGCCTTTCCAAAGTCTATTCAAACTCTTGCCAACATTCACTCCACTAGTTCATTCAATATTAAAATAGCTTTTTATTGTCATTATTAAACACATTTATATCATGAATCCATTAAGGCCACTTAACCCTTAATCAAATCTATTCACATGGAAATGGATTATAACAAACAAAGAAGTTGTTGAAGATTACTCATCAGGATTGAAGCACGTAATTTGAACTACACCATTCTTATTCTATCTTTATTTCACTATATTATAATTTGTTTGTGTTTCTGTTTTCCAAATGACTGAAAGTAAAGGGGTCACGTAGGGCCTGCTATCAAGAGATCAAAGTTAAAAAACTCTTTCAAACCAAATCCCATAGAACAAACAGAGTAATAGCCCTTGTTTGAATGTTTAAATGCCAAGTGTCCTTCAGCAAGACGCTGTCAGTCATGTCAGAAAGTGACGGATGTGAGAGCTGCTCCAGCTTGAAGGCAAGGCAAGTTTATTTATATTGCACCTTTCAACACAAGGCAATTCAAATGGCTTTAGAAAAATGAGACACAAGTTACAGTGAAGTGTAAGATATGAATATATCAATTACAAGCAGCGGCAAAAAGAAAGGTCTTCAGCCTGGATTTAAAAGTAGTCAGAGTTGCAGCGGACCGGCAGATTTCTGGGAGTTTGTTCCAGATATTTGGAGCATAATAACTGAACTTCTCCAGGTTTAGTTCTGACTCTGGGGACAGAAAGCTGACCAGTCCCTGAAGACCTGAGAGATGTGGATGGTTCATAATTTAGCAGATCAGAAATGTATTTAGGGCCTAAACCATTCAGTGCTTTATAAACCAGCAGGAGTATTTAGAAATCAATTCTTTGACACACAGGAAGCCAGTGGAAAGACTTCAGAACAGGAGTGATGTGATCCACTTTCTTAGTGTCAGTGAGGAACCAGAGTAAAGACTTCAGAACAGGAGTGATGTGATCCACTTTCTTAGTGTCAGTGAGGAACCAGAGTAAAGACTTCAGAGCAGGACTGATCCACTTTCTTAGTGTCAGTGAGGAACCAGAGTAAAGACTTCAGAACAGGAGTGATGTGATCCACTTTCTTAGATATTTTGTAGATATGTCGATGAACATCTCAGGCTCCTCCAACAGTGCAACACAATAAAAACAAGTAAATACAATAAAATAGAAGAAGTAGTGCCATAAGAGTCTATATACGTAATAAATAATGTTTAAGTTGCAAACAAGTGAATGTTATGGATGTTCTTAGTTCAGGTGTTTAACAGTCTTCTGGCCTGTGGTTATGTAGAAACATGGGCACGCTATTCTCAGAACATTTTAAAGAAATTATCCTAATGCATAGTGATGAAGACAAAATTGGCTATTTCGAAAAGAAATGGAGACAGGTTCCCAGCCTTCCTAGTATAAATGACGATGTAGAAAACACGAATTGTGTGTTCTGACCTCTTGAGGTGACCCATGAGGTATCGCAGCGTCTCGCAGTGAGCCGGCGGCAGCAGCTTCAGCGCCTCGTGGAGAGACTCCAGACGTTTTTCCGTGTCTGTAATCTCTGCAAACACACACATGAACGCAGAATAACTCGTTATAAGTCTAATTCAAATTCTAAAACATACATGTTAACGATACATGAGGCACAATAGCAAAACATTAAACATACATGGTGTGTGAGTATGTGTGTGGTGTGGTGTGTGTGTGGTGTGGTGTGGTGTGGTGTGGTGTGGTGTGTGTGTGTGTGTGTGTGGTCACTCGATGCTATAATAAGTCTTTGTAGCCAAATTAAAGATACGCTGTCCCTCTAGGACAAACAAAACTTACCAATTAAATCTCATTGAAACCTATTTTTGATCCTGCATCTTTTTCATGTTACTATATGGACTAATGCATGCTATTTTTAGATTAAAACTGCCATGTTTGATCTTGAACATGTCTGGAATAGATTCAGCATCCTCAATAAACCCCAAAACCACTCAAATAATGGTCCAAATCGGCCAAGACATTGTTTTTTTAACTATTGTTTGCATAGGCTTAAATGCTAATGAACGTGTGCTAATTGTGCAAATAACCCAACATGTGCAAGTTAGCATCCGGCATTTTCTATGTGCTGGTGTTATACATTCCTAACATAAAACTGGTTTCACATTGGTGGCAAATCAACTATTTACTGGTTTCCAAAAGGTTATTGCTGCTGTATTATGTGTTTGTAACAATGCCTCAAAATCAATATCGCTGCTAATTATTGATATATGTGACAAAAGGAATATGTGAAAAACCTACTTCCTGTTTCTACGAAGTGTGGGTATGCATCGTATGTTATTAGGGGGATAGGCAGCTCTCTGAAGTAGAGTTTGAGCGCTCCAGTGATGATGTTCAGGTCCTCATAAGCATTTGAGGAGATGTCCGCCTTCTCTCCATCTGTGGAGCAAATGAGTCACAAAAAGTGAGTGAAGAGTGACCGAAAGAAACCACAACAACTTATTGATATTTCACTGATCCTAAAATGATTTCAGAAGATAAAAGGAACCTCACCTTTGTCAAAGTGCATCAAATCAGCTAACTGAAAAACTGCTATCCTATATAATCCCTCCCTTCATTTGGTATTTTTCCTCAGATCTTTCCCATTTTGTATTAATATTTAATACTAAACAACAGAGACTACTACTGCTTTAAACATCCACAAGTCCTTAGATGGTCCTGGTCTTCTATTATCAGGGTCTATCCAGGAATCCTGAAGTCAGATGTATTCCCTTTGAAGACCTTTTTTAAGACCTTTTCCGTACATTTTAAGACCTCATCTCCACTTTGAGTTCTAACCGGTTACCTTGGCGACACACTTTACCTCACATTGACTATATACAGTATTGATTGTCCTTCCTCCTTATCTTCCAACCATTTGGACGCAGACTTGCATTTCCCCATAACGATGTTGATTAACAACCGGCGTAAACGGACCTTCGCGCTATCAAGCAGTGAGCGTGCGATGTCCTGTTCAGATGACGTCAAATCCAACGGGATGCCATCAATAAACTACACAGAATCACACTACACACCTACGCAATGATTACATTCAGGCAGACTGTAGAATACAACCTCTTTGGACCATTGATATACTTATTGGAAACAAGCTACAAAATTTAATACCTTGGTAAATGCCGTTTAATACTTTTTAATTTTCGCTAAATTGATTTATCAACTTGTAATACTTTAAGACCCCGCGGACACCCTGTATAAGGACAGTTTTAGGCTCTATAGTTATTTAATTAGGTACCTAGATATCTCTAACCTTTGCCATAAATACACAACATGTCTGACCGGTCCTGTATATGATGCGTTTCCATTGTGTGTAAATGGATAACAGAAGAGCAGAAGGAAACCAAAGCTAGTTATATATTTATCTGTGAGCCTTCAAGCTTCTCCCATGCTGACTACCTTCCCGTCACCTTAAAGTTAACTCAAACTAAAAACAACAACTTATTGATATTCCACTGATCCTAAAATGATTTCAGAGGATAAAAGGAACCTCACCTCTGTCAAAGTGCAGCTTCACGTCTTCAATGAGCTCACTGAAGCCTGATATCCTGTACAAACCCTCCGACTGGAGACCTGAAACGTCAAAGTGATGAATAAAATGAACTAAAACTGCTGTGTCTCAACATACCTCAAACAATCCTCTTACCTCTCGCCTCGATTTCCTGTATGCACATGTCCACCACCATGGGCCTCTTGGTGTTGTGCGCTTTGACCAGCGTCGTCAGGTCGCAGCTGTAAACCTTCTTCACGTGACGGAGGTCCGGCTGGCAGTCGTTCGGCACGACTTTGGAGCACTGCTTATGAACATTTAGCCCACAGTCTGACGGAGAAAGACAGAATGTGAAATATATATATATGTGTATACCCTTATGTGCAATACCACTGCTTGGGAATATACAACTTTGTGCCCTATTTATTGCACAGATGCACATCCGATGGTCAGAAATAGTAGGATATGTTGATTTATTGTGTTTAATTTGTTTGAAATAACAATAATTAAGTTTGTAAACAGTTGATTGGCACATGTGTCAAACTCAAGGCCCAAATTTTGGCCCGCAGGATAATTTCTAATTCCTATTAGATCTGGCCCTCCGGTATATTGCACGCACACCTTCACTCCATCCTGAGGGTCTCCTCAGCTCAGAGCCTGAGCCCAAACATTGATGACCTTGCACCCAAGATGAGATGCCAAGTATCTGAACTAGCATCACAGAGCAGCACACTGAGTTTAATGGATGTTTCCTTCTGCACTTTCTCTCTCACGACAACAGGGCATGTTTGGTTTCTCTTTGAGGGAAATAGTTTTGTTGAAGCTGTTGTTGGCCTGTGGGAAAATGTAATCATAAGAAATGACTCTGGTAAAGCTGCAGATAGAGCCATAAGAAATTAACGTAGCTGATTATTTAATGTTTAATGTTGTTTTTATAGGCAATCATTTAAGCTTTGTTAGTTCCAGGTTTAATATGTGCAATAAGTTCATTTCAATACGTTTTGCAATAAACATTGAACCAGTCCGGCCCTCCACTAGACCCATTTTTTAATGTTGGCCCACTGTGTGTTTTGGAGTTGACCCCCCTGGGGAGGGCTTAACACAAATATAAACCTCGGCCCACAGTGGAATTTTGGTTACCTCTGACGGTGGCTGTAGAGCAGCAGAGGACGCGGTACCAGTCGGTGAAGGATCTCTCAAGTGTTTATATATTAATGTTTCTTTCTATTTTGGACCGGACGTCCTTTGTCACTTCCCTCGTCCC